AATAACTAGCACCACAGAATTACAGTAGAACCCTAAAAAAATAACTGAAATAATTTTTGCAACATTGGGATATTTTTCATTTTACAGTTCTATTTCTTGCTGACTTTAATTCAAGATTTTCTACACATTTAAATTTTTCTAACATGTAACACCAATGAGCAATGTTTCAAATAATCAATCACTTAACTGGGGAACAGAAGCCCTCCGTGGGCTTAACTGGCGAACAGGAGCACCTCCAGGGCTATACTCGGGAACAGGAGCACTCCGTGGGCTACACTCGGGAACAGGAGCCCTCCCTGGGCTTAACGCTCTTCTTATTCTGAACTTTGATATTATGTACTTTTCCACAGCTTTTTGTATTTTTTTCCTTTTTGTAAGTTAGTTTTCAGCTTCCTTTGGCAGTCTGTGTGGCCTGAGGCTCTAGGAACCCATGGCAGTCTGAGACCCTGGGGCCCAATCCAAAATCCAGCCCTGGTAAAAGGCCTTATTTGATTGATCTACTGATAAACCAGTCATGGAAAGACTGAATTACACAGCTAACAAAGGCCTAACTAACAAGCAATCTGGTTTTCTAATCAATAGCTTAATTTATCTACAGCAGTTTCAAAAAATCTTTAAGGAAATGTGAATCTGTAGTGGAGCCACCTGTCTATTCTGCCAACAAATGGTATTGCCTTGGTTGCGGGGCAGCACATGGAAGCCTAGTTGATTAATAGCAATAAAAGACATTGTAAATTAACTTTTTCATTTCAGTAGTTATTTTAGATATAAGTTTAGATGTAAGCAATGAACAGTGTATATAAAAAAAAGCAGGCAAGAATCTTGAAGGCAGCAATGCATTAAGCATGTGATACTATTTATATCCGAGATGTGAGAGTGACCTAGTAACTCACATGTCTTATGCAGCTGTGTGTGCGTGTGCGTGCGCGTGTGTAAATAAGAGTCTGCGCACGTGTTGGGACTCAACATAAATATGAATTATTCTCATATTCATACATATAAGTCCAGACACTTACAACAGGTACATTGCAACTCAGGAAACAATGAGGGAATGGACTGGATCAGACATCTGTCAGATCCACATATACTACCATTCCAAGGTTTGAGGTTTGAGTTAATTTTTTGAATAACAAAAAAAGCAATATTAATAATATGTCTTAATTTTAAAACGTAATGTGTTTATGTGATAAGCAAAGCAGATTTTTCAGCAGCCATTAATCCATAATAATTTTAAGCAAATCCATAAGCAATCATTTTAATATGCTGATTTTGTGCCCAGGAAACCTTTCTGTACTTTACCTCTTTTTTTCATCATCATTATTATAGCTCAGAAGAGCAGCATTTATTTTTAAATATCATGTCTTTGTAACAATGTGAAAGACTAGCAATGTATAACTGCCAATTTGTATACAACCTTGCTGAATAGAAGTATTAATTTCTTTTCAAAGGGAAAAAAAAAAACTCTCATACTGAGAGGATCTACTGCAGAGTATTGATTGGTGAGCAAGTGATTTCTTTTATTTTTATTTTTTTTATATGTGTTCCGATGAAGACAGAAACTCATCTACATCTTGAATCAGCTGAGGGTAAGCACATTTTCAGGAAAATGTCATTCTCAGGTAAACTATTCCTTTAAGTGGGTGAATGATGCAGTGTCCTCTTGTGTTCTGCAGATTTTAAACATTGACACTTCAGTGTATGTCGCACTCAAGCAAAGTTTGAAATAATTGGTGTAAGCACAAATAAACTGTCCAAAAGTGCATTTTCAGAATTCAGCAACGGAAACAGAAAGAATGTCTATCTAAGCCGTTTCAGGACTGCATTCCTACAGATAAAGCAATACATCATGATGTAAACCTCACAGGGAGAGTTGGAGGAAAAAAAAAAAAAAAACTTAATTAGCCTTCTGCAACACAACTGAGTGACATTTTTAATAAGAGAATTTGCAACAAACAGATTCAAGTGTTGTAGCACTTCCAAAGTGCATCCGTTCACGTATGCTTTCCGAAGCGAATTTCTGAATGAGTCAGCACTGGTGAAATTGCTGTAGCTATTCGAATTTACCTCATGATTGCTTTTAAGTTTCCAGATATTTAAATGGAGACAGATACACATTTTGTTTTCTCATCCTCCCCTGAGACAACATGCAACAAAAAGTAAAGGGCATGAAAAATCTACAACTGATAATAGATGACTGTGGCTTCCCAACATTTAATAGGCCCTCTATACATTGTGAAGAAGGATTATAATGAATTTTTGAGAAGAATAGCTGGGTGTTTCATGAACACATTTGGTCCTGTGCACTGTTCACTCTTGCTGTAAATTGCAGGGTAAATAACTGTAAAATAGCCAGTGTTTTGCTGTGAAAATGCCTGGTAAGGTCTAACAGTACGGACACAATGTTTAACATAATTGATGTAAGATTGAAAGATTAATGTTTGGAGATTTTGTAGTTGATGGTTTGAGTTAAACAATAAAATATTGCAAAATAAATAATGAAAGTGTAGTAACAAAAATGTGTTATATATGTGAATATGTGTTATGTATAAAATGTATACACACACACACATGTGAAAAATCAGCTACACTATGATCCGTATATGATGCTGAAGAATTTAAAGAAGATGATGACGGTGATGATCATCATTCTGCTGAGATTGATTTCAGCTGAATTTACTATTAAAAAAAAAAATAGAATGAAGGAAGGCGGGCATCAAGAAATCTTGGTCTCTTGTGCCTGCAGCCATGTTTCTTCTATTGCTTGACTGTAAAGCAATTTAGATTCAAATAACTACGCATACAGTAGTGTCAAAGGAGAACTGTCATTTCCATTGTCATTATCCCAGTGGTCTTTAATATCATAGCTGTCATTCTAATTCATTAAAGCATCTAATGGCGTTCGGACAGCCTGGAGCTCTCGCTAAAGTACCTTACTTTAATGAGATGACTGCAAAGATGTCTTGCATCCAACCCGAGGTTGGATAGAGGGTGAAACTTAAAAGTAACTAGGAAATGTGTCTTAATGAAAAGTGTTACCTTTTGTTTTAGTTTATGAAAGCGAAAGGTTGCTTCACCCCCACTGGAATTTCCTCTCCAGAACATTCAGCACAACAACAATGGACAGTCCAAGTGAATGACATGTAACATAAGGAGAAGACTAGTTCTAAAAGACAACGAAGCTTGTTTACTGTGTCCAGAACAGGTGTAGTCCATGTATTTTGGGTTTTTTCTCTCTGACTACAGGGTTTTGTACATGTCCATAAACCATATGGATTTTTGTGGACTGTTACAAAATGAAAACAAACACAATCAGCACTGAGTAGTTAGCTTTTTCAGTCCTTCGTTTCTACATGATACAACAGCGATCCAGAGCCTTGTCCGTGGTCCTGATCCCACTCTTCTCCAGCTGAGTGAATATGATGCTGTCCGTGGTCCTGAAATTACTTTTCAGTCATAGTCTCCAGCAAAGGTACATCTGAATGGGGCTTTCTTTCGAAGAAGACAAACATTGACAGCCCAGCAGAATATATTTAGTAGATCTGTGATCATTTGAATTTAGGTTCATTGTGACACACGGAGAAGCACTAGTAAGGTTTCAAAATTCGCATTAGGATTCATATACCCAAGACCACTGCCGAGCACACATTTGAATCCTCTCCACATCACACCCAGTAAACATATGATGGGGGGTGTTACTGATATGGCTTGTAATGCCTCATTAAACTAATCTTGTATAGCACAGCTGAACTAGTGCAGATAGTGCTGACGGCCGTCTATCTCTGCCCTTCACATCAATGTGCCTCACGTTTCAGCAGGGACCATTAAGGAGCTAACCGGGGGTCAAGGATGCCCACATCACCACTGGGGCCCTCCTGTCCAGGAGATTCAACAGAGAAGCTCCTTTAAATGTGCCATCGAAACACCACTGCTCTGCATCGCTGCTAGCACGGTTGCCTAGCAACTAGACAGCAGATGCCTGCATCCCTCATCTTCTAAGTAAATATACATGGAAAAGAAATCACACCTCTTAAGTGTTTGTGCAGTACGCCCGATCATTTTTTTTATCATTTCGTTTGATCGTTAAACTTGATCTGAAATTTCAAACTGCATGTTGGCGGCACTGATTTCGAATGGTTATTTCTCCATCATTATTTGCGTATGTAAGTCATTTCTGAGTTAGTGTTTTGGAGAGTCTGTTGGGCTGAAGAATGTGGAAAAGTGGAAGAAATGCATGAAAATGCGCCGGGATACTCTCGCAGCATTTTAATAGGCTGCAGCTCGCGAGCCGACAAGTACAGACATCATTCCTCCGCTAGACAAGCGCGTGGACAGACTGCCTTTCCTCTTTAGTTCGATTTCGCTTTTATTTTTTTCAACAAACACCTGCATTTTATTCAGCACATTCAGAAAAGGACAATGCCCTTCTTTTGAAATCCAAGCGTGCGCGTCGGAGATTTTTGTTCCAGATTATTTTCTCGGTTCCTGGAGGTGTTATTGCAATTGAAGTGTGTCATCATTTGCTCTGAACAAGAGCAGGAACATGCTCGGGGATTCAATCGAGAGATAAGGGGGCTTTTCCAGTAGGCTAGACAAATCTTGGACATTTGCAAGCGTTTTAATGTGATACATACATATACCGCGCGTTTTTGTCCTGCTTCTGCTTCTGCTTCATATAAGGTTGTACTATGGACTACAAGCTCTGACGTGAGTGAGTGAGTGAGTGAGTGAGAGAGAGAAATCATATGTGTAAGGAACATCCTCGCATCGATTCTATAGCGCATAGGCCTATTATTGAAAACTAAACATATATTTTTCTTTATAATCCGTCACAAAATT